TTACCTTTTTACATCTTTGTTTCCAAATCAAACAGCAAGAACACCAAAGGCTGAACTGAGAGCTGACAGCACATCAATTCCAGCAGGGGGCGCTGTGACCCTAACCTGTGATGTGAACCCTCCATCATCTGGCTGGACGTACATCTTGTACAGAGGAGATCACCCGGGCACACAAGATGATGGTAATAACTTCAATGGACGATTCAGTGTCTCCAAGGGAGGAGTCTACAGGTGCAGAGGAGTGAGAGGAGAACCAGTTTACTACACAGAGGACAGTGATTCAGTCACTATCAACATCATTTGTGAGTTTAACATTTTTGTAAACTTGTAATAATATATTCTATCCATAAATTGATTGATAAAAAGACTAAAGATGTTTCTTTTTTTCTCATCATTGTGTCCTTGTTGGGATCTCTTGAACACAAACAGTATCAAACAGAGCTGTTGTGACTCTTCAGCCCCATTGGACTGAGATACACAGCGGAGAGAAGATCACTTTGAGATGTGAAATCGAGGGTGGAGACGACTCTGAGTGGGAGTATGAGTGGGAAACAACCAGCTCTGATAGATCTGTAAGACAAAGTGAATCCTTTGAAATCACTGCTACTTCTTACAGTGAAGGAGAATACAAGTGTAAGGGAAAACACAAAACTGAGGTACTTTCTTCAACACAGTGGAGCACTCCAATCACATGACAGTATCAGGTAAGATGGACTTAAAATCAACATGAAAACAAGTTTTAAGAAGGTTTGTTTATGTTAAGAGAAACTATCATTCATATCTGAACAGTACTCAAATTGTGACTTTATTTCTTCATTGAGAAAGTTTTAGTGCAGATCACAGTGATTAAGTGTGTCTTTGGTACAATAAGTTTCATGGATGAAGTTCATGTGTATTTATTTCCATAAGGTATTTTATTAATGGCTATTTAAAGAAACAGTAATCTATTTTTATATCCCTGTTTTAAACTGAACAGAACAAAAACCAAAGCCTGAGCTGAAGGCTGATGTCACAGATATTCCAGTAGGAGGTTATGTGACCCTGACCTGTGATGTGAGCTCTTCATCTGGTTGGCAATACTACTTTTGGTACAGAGCAGATAAATCCTCTAACCCATCATCCATAAATGAATTCTCCTCGGCTGGACAAAAGCGTGTCTCAAAGGAAGGACTCCACTGGTGTAGAGGAGCGAGAGGAAACCCAGTTTACTACACAGAGGACAGTAATACAATTCAGTTAAAAGAAAATAGTAAGTTTTGCATATTGACATTCTTTGGTGTAGATTTAAGGTTTTTTCATCTTTGTATACTTACTGTGAATTCTTCAACATTAGCGGTTGCAAACAAGGCTGTCGTGACTCTGCACCCCAACTGGTCTGAAATCTACTCTAAAGAGTCGATTACTCTAAGATGTGAGATAAAGGATGGAGACGACGCTGAGTGGGAGTACGAGTGGAAAACAAGCAACTCATTCAAACCTCCAAAGGAAAAGGAATACAGTATTGGACCTGCTGATACATCACACAGTGGAAACTACAGTTGTAAGGGCAGAAAAAAAAGTGACCAGTCTCCAACAGGTTGGAGCGATCCCATCACATTAACGGTTTTATCCAGTAAGTAACATTTCTTTCATATAAACATTATACTGTACTATCAGATATTCCATCATTACATGGTTTTATTTCTTTGAATAATCACTTTTCCAACAGGTTCACCCCAGCCTGTCCTCACCGTGTCTCCACTCTGGCTGAGTCCTGGAGACTCTGTGACTCTGAACTGTGAGGTTAAACACCCATCAGCAGGATGGAGGTTCTACTGGTATGAAGCTATTCCCAAACTATCTGACAACTCCTACAACTACCAGCTGCTATCTGGAAGCAGAAATGGAACTGAAAAGTATTCCTTCATTGTTCATGGACAGACACACACAGCAGGATATGTGTGCAGAGCTGGAAGAGGAGAAATGAACACTCCTTATAGTGAACCAAAGTTTGTCTGGTCTGGAGGTCAGTTTGTTTCTGTCTTTATCTTGAGATTAATATCTTTATTCAGTTTTGATCTATGAACAACATAGAGTTTCTTCAGTACTTTTGTCTGTATTGTACAACAAACTCGTTTCCTTGGTGAGTGGTTGTTGTTGTTTTTGGTAGCATGAAAAACACTAAAAGGAAGATTATTAGAGTCTATCACTTAAATAATCGTTCAATAAAAACATTTTACTTTGTATAATTAAGCATCTTATTGCTAATTGCTGACTCTCACATGTGAGGGCTTGTTTGATTAAAATAGTTGGTCAGTAATCAGTGGTATGTAGACTCTATATGAAAAATCTATTTCAGCCATTCCTGATAAAACAGAATATGTACTAATGGAAAAGAAGGGAAAAAACCAAGCCACAGACTTGAAACACAAATAAAAAGTAAGAATGCAACTACTCATGGAGAAACATCGTTATGAAATGCTAATCCTTCATATCTTTGAAAAATCACAGGTCAAAGAAAGTCTTTCAATTTATAGACAGAAGCAAGAGTTCCTTGGTTGTCTATCTTAATTAAATATAAAGTCCAATGGCAGCTAACTGTAGTTGTCTGTTCTTTTTTAATCTTTGGACTGCTGGGATTTGTTGAACCTTTTGTTTCTTTCTTTCTTCTTTAGATTTGCCTTCATCAGCATCTCTCACAGTGAGTCCTGAAAGAGTGCAACACTTCACCTCTGATTCTGTCTCACTGGAGTGTAAGGGGAACTCTACTCAGTGGAGAGTGAAGTTTCAAGAGGACAGCTTCCTGGCAGATTGCTCCCTGAGGGATACAATGACTGGATCAACATGCACAATAGATCGTCACATCTCAAGAAATAATGTGTACTGGTGTGAGTCTGGATCAGGGGAGTTCAGCAACGCTGTCAACATCACTAAACAGAGTATGTTTTTATTACATTTCTTAAAGTTTTTATCTTTCAGCATCCAAGTATTCAATTCAACATCATTCAGTTCCACGTTATCTCCATCGACATTGAGAAGTAAAAGAGCAGCGCAGTGTGGGAGAGTTTACTCTCTTAATTAGATAAAAGCAAAGATTAAGGTCTGAGTGTATATCATTATTAAATACTGATCACATTTGTAGACAGTTGCTGTTCAAACACATTTGATGCCAAAGTCTTAAACATAAGAAGGAGTAAGGTGTACACAAGATAACACATCAGATTAATCATCACTTTGAAGCATTGCTGTAAAAAAAGAAGAAATATATTCTCATCATTCTGTGTCTGCTAATTTTCATGTTTGAACCTGATGACCTCTGACTGAATCCTCTTTTCTTTAACTGTTTTACAGAGTCTGATATTATCCTGGTGAGCCCTGTCCATCCAGTGACTGAAGGAAGTTCAGTTAGTCTTAGCTGCAGATTGAGAAGCTCAGATATTGTTTCCAATGTGTTCTTCTATCAGAATAACAAACTCATTCAAAATGATACCAGAAAGGAGCTTAATATCTCTGCTGTGTCAAAGTCTGATGAGGGCTTCTACAAGTGTCAGACCTCAGGGAGAGAGTCGTCTCAGAGTTGGATGTCAGTAACAGGTGAGTGGGATAGTCAGGGAGATACCCCGTGCCCTCTAAAGTAATGTACATACTTTCATGCACTAATGTTAAACAGACACTCTTGAAGTAACATCAAGCCGGCTTAGAGGCCTGTGTTAACGTTAGCTTAGCATGACTAGCCACCAATACTTGGGTGTGAATGACAAAATCATTTCAAACATTTTATTTTCAAGCAACAAAAAAACTCATGGACTTTTTGCATTAAAACACTTATTCAGTGTTACACATGTCAAATATATCTTGTTAGTCCTCTGTTGTCCATATCCTGGCTTGCACTCCTCTTTCTCAACCAGGAACTGCCAGACAGAGCTTCTTCTTCTCATGAATTTCTGGCAGGCTGAATGCTACAAGGCGTAATGCTGCCCTCTGCTGTAATTCAAATGAATTGATCACTTTGGGTTCAATTCTCAGACATAGTCCAGTGGTCCTCAAGCAATTCAAAGTAGCCCTACCGACTAGCTGAAGTCACTTCCAAAAGATAGCCAAACAGAGATGAAGCCTGCCTTTGGCTTATATGGGGGTGTGCCAAGTGGAAGGCACCAAGTTAGGCAGAGGTGGAGGGATGTTTAGGTTGTTGAGAATAATTATGATTTGTAAAAAAAAATGGTGGTTTAAGAATTTACTTAAAGGAATCGAAACTTAACATCCGCCATATTGCTTGGAAGCTATGCTAACAGGCTCTATGGAGAAAGCTGATAATGGTGAAAAAATATACATATAGCAGTGAGACGGCTGCTGCGGGTGAAGTATCCCTTTAACTGAAATGTATTTTGATGTGTTTTTAGCCTTATTGTAGATGTTTTGTGCTTCTTGCAGAACAGGTAATACTCTCCAGAGAGTTAATTGATTTCTCACCTCTTTTGGTCGGGGTGCCAACTCCTACATAAGAGGAGGCTTGAGGGCCTTGCAGGTTGTTGGTGGTTGGAGGGGCAAAGTGTTGGAGAATTGTTGACAGTAACCAAAGAGTGTGCCGCGCTGCAAGGGCCCACGGTGGCATTGTTTAGCGCTGAGTCGCGTCTTTAGTTTGTCACTTTTTACATTCTGTTATTTACTTATTTCTTGCTAGTTTTATTTTTTATTTTTACATTTTTCTCCAGGCCTGTACTGTACATATTGCTGCACTTTTTTTTTCATTGTAAAAAAATTCACTTGCTGAATTTTTGATTTTTTTTTCTTTCTTTAGCCTAAGCCACTTTCCCATCCTTACAAAGATACAAATTACTGAATGATTTTATGTAAACCATGTTTTGTCTGAAAAAGAAAAAGGTCAAATACACCATCTAGTTGGAAGTAACCACACTTTAAGTGATTGACCTTATTGATTCAATAATTTAGTGTTGAATGAGTAATTTGGTTAAATCTTGGATTGCGATAAAATGATGTATTCATTGTAGACTATTTTTTTTTTACACGTTTGTGTTTTGTCTTCACCGTTGCTTGAGACAACATGACAAAACATTTAATTATCATTGTCTATAATCTTAAGAAGTGTTTTATAAGTTCATTAACAGTTATTTGTTATTAGTTGTAGCGGTGTCCAGGCTTGGGAACCCTTCATATCTTTTAATTCTCATGATTGTCGGGCTGATTTGTGGAGTAGTACTTATAATTCTTCTGCTCCTGTTGTATCGCTGCAGGCAGTCAAAGGGTGAGACCTTTATTTAATATTTTTCTCTTACACATTTGATGGTTTATTCCAAATGTTTGACATGAAATGGTGGCAAACTAAAAGAACAACACAATGTCTTTTTTACAGATTCATGCCTTATCAGGTTGGTTCAGTGCTCTCTTGTGTCTCATTTTGAACATTACATTAACACTTTGCCATTACGTCCAATGTTAACACCTTTTTATTTACTCAATGTTGGAGGTCAATCCAGTCTGAAAGCACCAACCAGGACTCGGCCACAAATCCGGCCGCTCAGCATCATGAATACTCACCTCCCCTGCAGGGTAAGCATTTGAATTAATCATAAATATTTATATATAAGAACACCTTTTATTGTAAACATCCAAAGATACAAAGTGTTATCGTGCAGTTAGCTCGATTGATTTGATCTCCATTGCTCTTTAGGTGATGCGTGTCATTATGAATCAATCAAAGGCCCTGAAGACACCGCACATGGTACAGTTTATTCCTTTTCTAATACTGAAAATGTTCCAACAAATGCAAAGGTTTTCTTTTCAACGACGCAATTACTTTCGCTTTTGGAATGCAATTTAGGCAATCAGTGCAATGTATAATATTTCTTAAATTGAGCAATGGTGTCCTTAACTGGTTGGTGCATCATGTATAATTCATTTGTAGTTAGGTTATGAACAATGCCACTTCAGAGGGTGAAGGCAAGTTTCATCATCCTTTTGCTAATGTTTAAGTGTGTTAGACTTATTCAGCCTCTCTTTAGAGACACATACATCTTGTTTATTGCTTTAATGTTACTTTGTAGTTAGATTGACTTTCCATGGATGAAGAAGCTAAATGATCACTGAAACTTAAGGTTAAAATACTTGGTCTGATTCTACATCCATGTGCTCCTTGAGTGGTCCCAGTTTCCGAGTTGTGAAATCATTCTTCTAAATTCAGTGTGTTCACGTGATTTCAGTTCGGAAAGTTTGAATGTTGTAAGAACTACAAAGAAAGTATGGACGCTACAAAGATGTGTGACTGTCTCTGTTATGAGTTATATTTGAGCCAAACGTTGATGTACAATTTGTGACTTATCGGCAATAAAAAGTGTCTTAACATTAACAAAACAAATATTTTGCCCCCCATGTGATGACGAATATGACCACAATTCGACAAGTCGGAATCAAATCTTTTCCAGAGTTTTTTCCGAGTTGTTGCTCCGACTTGAGCAGGCGTTCATGTACGTTTTACAACTCGTTTTCCAGATGTGTCCGATACCACATGAATGCACCATTAAACCTCCAATCAAAAACTGCACTGAACATGCTTCACCATGTACATTTTACTTTGAAGGGAACTGTTCCTCTTTCTTGCTTTTGCCTCTTTTTTTGTAATATTCCATAGTACTTTTTTAATAGTGGAACTAACCAACATTTAGCGCTGCATGTCTTCACAGGGTTATGGCAACGATTGCTTGTGAAACACTTGCATCAGCTTAGTTTTGGCTCAGTGAAACCAGGACAATGATGTCAGCCAATACGCTCTAAACTGTTTCCTGAAATAGTTTCCGACTGTAGATGAACTGTAGTTTATGCACGGCCCAGAATGTTTGTGGATAACAAAACATATATTTCAGATGCAAACCAGTCCCAGTCCCATGATGTTACATATTCTCTGATCGAGCTCAAAAACATCGGAAAGAAAGGTAAGTACTTCAATAAGATACAGCAGATTGATTAAAAAGTACTAAAGTGTTTTTACATTCATTCGGCTCATTTGTTGTCTTTTTTTTTTTTTTACAGGGAAGAAACCTGAACCAGACAGCACGATTTATTCTGATGTGAGGTTAGAAACAGAAGGTAGGTTACAGTGCTGCTTTAAGTTGATGTTAAAATGCATCATGGTACACACTGGAGGAGATAATGGGTCAGCTTGCAGTTCAGTAATTATTCTAAATATTTCCACTGGGTGTCAAAAGAGACAAAATTTGTCAAATGTTAGCTAAATTTGGGGCATTTATTCCTGTGACTGCTCAGTTTGGCTGTTTAAATTAACGTATGTTGGATGCATGTTATTGTCGGATCGTCATGTGTTTTAAGAACATTTCCATCTCACAGATTAAGTATTAAGATGGACAGTTTTAGGTCCAAACAAAAGCAAGAAGAAGAAACATTCGCTGAGCTGCCATAGTGATAACACATAATCTGTACAGTCATCATAGAAACTCAAGTGTTTCTACATTTTTCTTTCTCAATCCTTCAACCCGTCCGTCTGTACATTACAAATTCAGTCTACAAAGAAAACCAATCCTAAAATCTGTCTTTTGTTTTAGATACATCTGTCCTTTATTCTCAAGTCAGCTGCCATAATCCAGGTAAAGCCAAGAAAAACAAAGGTGAGTGAAGTAAGCAATCAACTGCAGTTTTTCTTCTCCAACACAGAACAATATAAATGTTCTGTTTTTTCTTTCAAATCGCAGGTGATGTAAGCTTTTATTGTTAATATTAACCGTCAGGTGTTCTTACATTAAAGGTCCAATATGTAGAATTTAATTACAATGTTTACGTTGAAATATCTAAATCAATAAAAAATTGATTAAATTGATTAGCAGAGAGAACTCACGATTCCCTGCCAGCACCAACGTCATCTTTTATTATTGTTTTGATTGAGCGCCCCCCGGTGGTGGAATCTGCATACTGTGCCTTTAATACATCTGAATTCTGCATTTGTTTTAGATGTGTTGCTTCTGAACATTTTGCATACTTAGGCAACTTTAATGCTTAAAGATGATGCTGAAATCAGTTTATTGGCTAAGGGGGGAAAGGGTTAATGGCTGCAACAATACAAATAATGACAGATTGTAATGACCATTACATACATGACAATTACAAAGATAAGGCTTATTCTTAATATTCAGTATAATGAACTTTTTTTACACTGATTGTCTCTCTCAGGAAAGCCAACTCCTGCGATAACTGAAGAATCGGTTTACTCTGAAGTCAAACCAGGTACAGCTCATGGTTTTAATGCAACCTTACATCATGAGGATTTATTTTATGTATATGTCAACTGATTTTAAAAAGGCAAAAAGGTCTGGTAAAGATTGCAATATTCTTAAAAATTACTAATCTTTCTTTTCCCTTTGCTTCTCTTCCAGATCAATAAAGTTCTGTATCTATAGACATAAGGAATGGATGGCAGCGTGAAAAAAACAATCTTGGCTTGATTAGCATTTGCAGCTGTGATGTGATAATTTTGTGCTCGTGCTTGTAAATTATTAAAAGTATTCGGTGCAGTAAGTAGCATAGAAAATAAATTAAATTGTGTATTTATTTTGTATTCCTGAAAGTTTGGTTGAACATTTCATGCATCGATTAACTTCTTTCACTAGTAAGCTGTGAGCAGCGTTACCCGCCTTTATTGGGACAGGGCGGATCATTTCTTTGGTCATTTTCTAATGTTTGTGATGCAATGACAAAGTAGAAAAGGAAGATATAAGACCTGAGGTGTCTCATGTATCTGTCACATTAGAAAAGAACTGATTCATCAGATTCAAGTTTAAATGTGACATATGTCTCTTCAACAAAGTTATAGTTGTACACAAAGTGTTTGTAAAGTTGAATTGTTACGTTCCACATGTTTTTGTTTTGTTAGACTAAGTTACATTTCATTTGAACTACTTGTATCGTGCTGTATCGAGAGCAGAAGATTTTATCCACGAGGAATAGTATTTAAAAATGAGAACATAACCAGAGTATAAAAATCTCTACTCTGTTTAGCGTTAAGCTAACCACTTAGCATATGCTGTTATAGCCTGTTTTCTGTTTTTTATTTTTTTAGATTTTGAATAAGTTCATTTCATTTTCTGTTCTTTACCTTAGTGCTACTATAGTTTGTTGTATTCAAACAAAAGCCTTTCATACAATATTTGAGTTTCAATGGTTATTGGTGAACATGTCTGTACAGATTTCTGCCATTTCAATAAAATTGGATTTTTAAGATATCCTGACAGCTTCTGTGTTGAACTTATTAGCAGCACCGGTGCCAGACTGTGACCCAAAGATAGGCACCCAATGGATAAAGATGTAAACTCAGAGGGAGCGTTCAAAAAGGAAAGGCGTTTAATGCGGTCCAAGGTTTGGTACACAGAAATTCAAACAAATCCAGAGGAGAAGGGAAAAAACAGCTGCTTGGGGCCCCAGACCAGTAGGGGGCCCCTGAGGGCTCACAAACTTAAACCAAAACAGTGGCCAAGAATATGCACATTTTGCAATAGGCAGTAGGACAGACTCTAGAATGGCCCCTAGCTGTTCATGAGTTATGCCTGAAGGAAGTGTGTGGTATTGAAAATCATGTGAAACCTTTTTATGTCGTTTCATCTCTTTTCAACAGATGATCCCAGACCTGTTGTCAAGGTGTCCACTTCATGGCCGAGTCCTGGAGCCAATGTTACTCTGAAGTGCCGTTTTAGCAAAAATTATGGATTGTGGACGTTCAACTGGTATAAGGCTGTTCCCAGATCATCCAACAACTCCTACAGTCATGAGAAACTGTCTCACAGCTGCAGTGGACAAGGTCAATGTTCCTACATTGGTCATGGACAGACACACACAACAGCATATGTGTGCAAAGCTAACAGGGGAAATGATAATCACACCAGCAGACCCACGTTTGTCTGGTCTAGAGGTCTGTATGTTTTACTTTTAGCACCACCAAGTGTTTACTTCTGTTTATTCTTTACTGTACTGTGATATGACATGACAAGCATTTGAACGTCTGCAGACACAGACACATGCACGACAGGCTGAGTTGTTTGTGTACAAACAAAAAAGCCAAGAAAGCACACAAGCTAGGGCCAATATTAAAGTCATTCTTACATACAAATCAATATCAAGATATTTTCAGTATCAAATAATGTCTGTTTAGAACAGAAAGGTGGATGGTGCTGAATTCACAAATAGGGCGTTAACACTTGCAGAAAACTCCTGAAAAACTCCTGACATTTCCAGGAGGAGCTGCATGTGTGAACGCAAACAGCCACATTTTTCACTCTGATCTCACACAGAGTTTCTCCGGCCAGCCCTCCTAGTATTTTTTTCTGCAGCAAGTCCAGGTGGGCTGATGTGAGAACGCAGCAGGATATTCTCCGGAGAATTCACCTCGAGCCAATAGGAGGGGCGGAGTGAGGTTTCTATACTGTGACGTCGTATAACGGACTCTGTTGCTCCGACCGCTACTTCCACGTCCCGCCCGCCCTCCTGTCTGACAGGGAAAGTCTCCCGCTGTGAGGTGTACATGTGAACAGCCAGGTCAGGAGAATATCCGGAGCAGTCCTCTGGATATTTTCAGGAGTGTATTTGTGAGAACGGCTAAAGAGAGCCAATAAGATGGAGTCGGTATTTAAAGACTGTCAAAACTTGCCGTTCACCGTACCTTCCTCATTAAACTACAAACTCTGTGCTGGATTTGACCCTTCACTTTTTCTTATCTTTTCAGAAATTCATCCAAATTCAATCAAAGTGAGTCCTCCTGACAGAGGCCAGCACGTTTCCTCAGAGAATGTCTCACTGAGCTGCGAGGGAAACTCTTCTAAATGGAGGGTGATGAGATTAACTGAAAAAGGCCATCGGTCAACCTGCTCTGAATGGGGGACAATGAAAAATTCGACGTGTGACATCACAAACCCTCCAAAAAAAACAGCCGTGTACTGGTGTGAGACTGCATCAGGCCAATTCAGCAATGCAGTCAACATAACTTTTCAAAGTAATGTTTTGTTTTTTATCTTAATGTAATTTGCGAAACGATTGTTTTTTAAAGTCTCTTATACAGATTGTGTTTCTAATTTATATTAGACAGATAGAGTAATGTTACATGACGCCTTCAAGGAGTCATATGTAAGATATTTACTGAATGAAATGATGCATGTTTCTAATAAGCTCCACGAGCAGAAACGTGCTCAAACTAGGATCAATATAGGAGATGCTTTTAGAAAAATGGAGAGAGGTTAGAACGCAGAAAGGTTTACAGACCGATGCAGAGCTGGATAAACACTGAAGCTTCAGTGTTTGTGTTATTCTAACTCGGCTTGCGTATCAACTCTAGGGAGGAGGTGGCTGAATTTGGACTGCAGTACCCATTTTTAACACTAGAGACATATTGCTCCCTTAATAAGACCTTTAAAAGGAAACCTACATAAATTGGTTAAATAAGTTCACAGATAAAGATTTAATTGTATCTTGTACATAATAGTACCTGTCAGTTACACATGTGGAAGCAATCTATAAAATGTCCTGACAAATAACCATTTTGTTCTTTTATTTTGGCAGTGTCCAGCTCTGAAGGTTCCTCCTTTCCTCTGCCATTGGTCCTTGGACTGTTTTTTCCCCTTTTAACCCTGATGCTCCTGCTGCTGCTGTGTTGCTACAGAAAGTCAACGAGTGAGTCCTGATCATTTTCAAAGACATACAAAACTTAGAGAAAATGATCAATTCAGAAATATTAAACAATTTAACAAGAAATGCCTTTTTTCTTTCAGATACATTCGTCACCAGGTCGGTAAAACGCTTCTCCCTCTAGAACCTAAAAGTGCAGATGTTTCTTCTCATGTCTGTTTGACGTTTTGACAGGATCTTTAACTTTGTGTTCTCAGGATTTTTAGACCCTCAAAGTCTCAGAAAACCAATCAGAGCCCAGCTGCAGATGACGTGGTCAACCAGAACCAGACTCAAGGTAGAGGGTCTCTCAATGGTCAATATCACAAAAATACATCTTCAAGACCTCATCATTTCTTAGAAACACTTGAGGCTGATTAATTATTCATTAACATAGGAACTAAAAACTACTAATCAGTCTGTCAAAAATGTTTTTTGAGTAAACATGAGGCTAATAATACAGTAAGAATGAAGCAGATGTGTAAATATCTTTAAAGTAATGGGGATAGTTTTATCATTAATTCAGTCAAAAGACCCCAGCACAGTTAAAATTGCTCTGTTAAACTTTTAATATAGACATACTGTAACCTTGATTTAAGATGGTGAGTCATCTTCTCGTGTTTATTCCAGATGCAGATGAATCCAACGACGTGACGTACTCTTTGATTCTGTTTAAAAACAGAGGTAAAGGTGAGTACTCGTGTTTCAGACCAGGTCCGCCTTCATTACAGCTTCATCAACGCTGCAACGCTCAAAAAAGAATATCGGTATAATCATGGTCACCAACCTTTATTTAAGTCTTTAAATCATGAAGGTGTTTGAGATACAGTAAGAGCACAATATTAAAAGAAGAAGAAGAGGATGTTGTCAGTTGGCTGGTCTTGAAGGATTGACTGACTGCAGGGCAGAGGGAGACTCAGGATGGGGGTTCTGTCTCAGACGTAATTCTGGCCGAGCTGATCACGATCCGGATTGTTCCTAGAATTAGACAAACGAGAGGAAGGGATGAGGAAGGAGGGTGAAGGGATGAGGAAGGGATGAGGAAGGAGGGTGAATGGATGAGGAAGGGATGAGGAAGGAGGGTGAAGGGATGAGGAAGGGATGAGGAAGGAGGGTGAAGGGATGAGGAAGGAGGGTGAATGGATGAGGAAGGAGGGTGAAGGGATGAGGAAGGTGGGTGAAGGGATGAGGAAGGAGGGTGAATAGATGAGGAAGGAGGGTGAAGGGATGAGGAAGGTGGGTGAAGGGATGAGGAAGGAGGGTGAATAGATGAGGAAGGGATGAGGAAGGAGGGTGAAGGGATGAGGAAGGAGGGTGAATGGATAAGAGGAAGGGATGAGGAAGGTGGGTGAAGGGATGAGGAAGAAGGGTGAAGGGATGAGGAAGGTGGGTGAAGGGATGAGGAGGTGGGTGAAGGGATGAGGAAGGAGGGTGAAGGATGAGGAAGGTGGGTGAAGGGATGAGGAAGGAGGGTGAAGGATGAGGAAGGTGGGTGAAGGGATGAGGAAGGTGGGTGAAGGGATGAGAGGAAGGAGGGTGAAGGATGAGGAAGGTGGGTGAAGGGATGAGGAAGGGGTGAAGGATGAGGAGGATGAGGATGAGGAGGATGAGGAAGGAGGGTGAGGATGAGGAAGGAGGGTGAAGGATGAGGTGGGTGAAGGGATGAGAGGAAGGGAGGGTGAAGGGATGAGAGGAAGGGAGGGTGGGTTAAAGAATCGAGACAAAGAGGGTGGAGTGGGACGGCTGGCCGTGGTCCTGCTTCTGAACCTAAGTTAATGTATTCATTTAATTTGTGTTTACAATATTTAATATTCTTTCAAACAAAAGCCTTTGGATTTTATAATGTGATGCCGATCTGTTTTTGAAAATAAAAATCTTGTTTATTTGTTATTCATCTGATCAGGTCTGCAAAATGAACCAGAGGAGGAGAGCTCTGTTTACTCCAAAGTGAAGATAGGATCACCTGCAGCTACAAAAACATAACATACACAAGTCCAGACTTTATTTTGAATGAACATTTTGGTATATTTGAAATGACTCGAGGTTCTTCATGGGAATGAGCTTTCTTCGAATTGGCTTAGTCATCTCAGGTCGCGACCAATAGAAGTCAACCATCGTCCAACTCTTAAACTTTGATTATTGATATTTATCGCTTCCTAAGAGAGTTTTTTTTTCCTCTGCCTGAGCCAGTTTTATTTTTTTACAGAGGGCATACATTTGAACTGACCTTCCTGTTGTTTCGCTTTTCTTTGGTCTTGCTTGGCAAATTTGAGAAGTCTGTTGCGAATAGCTTTGCAACAGATTTCTAACTTTCCCTAATCACAGAAACTGCATTCTATTGCAAACGTCTTTCTTTACATGAAAATATGTCAAATATGTTATATTGCCTGTTTCATGCATATTCTTAACTGTACATGAAAACTACATACACATGCAGATATCAGAGTCGGACATGTTTACTGTGTTAGTTTCAGCTTTCCCATACTGTTGGTGTTCCCTACTTAGATTATGATCTAGATCAACATCTGTTCAGTTCAGTCTGAGTTGTTATTGAAGAACGAATCATCTGTTCATTTGTAGAAAAGATGTCTCATGAAACGGTTTCTTCTGAAGTCAAAAGAGGAACACCTACTGGTAAGAGTCAAACCATGCACAGAGTGTGTGTGTGTGTGTGTGTGTGTGTGTGTGTGTGTGTGTGTGTGTGTGTTTGTGTGTGTGTGTGGTGTGTGTGTGTGTGATGGATTTTTGAAACTACAAAATCTATTGAACCTTTTGAATAACTTCTCATCACTTTTCTCTGATTTTCTTCTCGGTCCATGAAGAAAAGTGTGTTGTGTTGTGTTTGAGACGTGCTTTGTTTATACATAGCTTTTATCTGCTGCCTTTTTTTCTTCTTTTTTTTTAACATGATTGCTCCTAGTTTTATGTTATGCAACAATAAACTTTTTTTTTCATAACACCAAGCTGTCAATCGTCTTTTTAAATGTTTCTTTGCTCAGTTTCATGTTATTTTCTTAACCTCACCAAATGGCTTAAAACCCTAAAGAAAAAAACTTTAACCCTGGAATATATTAGAAAACCATTAAAGATGTTATACTATGTACCAATGGTAAACCTGTCCTTAACAGTTACCTTGACAGTATACTGTTTTCTTAATGTTTGCAGGAAGTCAACCCACTTATGAGTTTAAACAGGAAATCATGAACTACTGAGGTAAGATTTCGTTGATAGGAAACTTTCTGAAATGCTCTTCCCATTTTTTTTTTGAAAGTTGTTGGTTTCTATGAATTTCTCTTTTCTTGTGAAAGGTTCGAGGGTCTAAGGGGGTCACAGAGTTGTAGACGGTTAAGCTCTGCGTTGCATCTTTTGTAACTTTGAGGTAAAATAATGGTTAGATGTTTCATTCCCATCAGCAGCTAGGTTGACTTTTTTTAAGCTCCTACTTTTCTTTGAGCTTTGCACTAACTCTGTGACACAGCAGCCACTCTGCCTGTAAACAACAGTATTTATCTCCACTTCATGGATACACCTTTAATCAGGTAAACACAGTGGTGTGTTGGTGTCTAAAGAAGGGGGTATACTCTTGGTAAAATGTTTTTTTTAAAGGTGGCCGGTCCAGCAGAGGATAAACGGTCTCTGTTATAAACAGGTTGAGCAATGTTAGCAACTTTTGGTACGCATACAAACAAAAATAAATCCCCCTCCAAAAGAAAAAAAAAGTAAATGAATCCTCAATATTGGGCACATTTTCTAGCCTACTTATCCAGTTAATGGTTTTCATTGTTTGGTTGTTAAGAAGAAACACACTTTAAAGCTTCCAACTTTAATTAATGTTGCATTCTTGTATTAAACAGAAACCCTAACCCAAACAGAAAAACGAGAGTCTCACAGATTAAGAAAAAAATGATATTTGGGGGTCGTTCTTATTTTTCGTGAGGTGGACATGAGTAAAGGAGCAGGTTGAAAGGCTTGCTTGGCTTTCTGGTTTGGACTTATTTAGATGACCTGACCTACAACAGTGAGGTCTTTGATGGCTTCTTTGTCAGGAGTTTTAATGAAGATGCAGAATGAATAGTGATTGTGAGTGGTGGATTTTGGTCCGTCTGGTGCTGCTTTTGCTGCCCCCTGATTTTCTTCATTGCTCCTACTGGGTCTCTTGTTTGAGGCAGCACTGCCACCGTGTGTCCAAATATAATCCATGAGCACAGTCGACAGCAACAAGCTCATTTCCCTTATGTCCCCTTCTGTTCATCCTTCTTCTGTTGTCCTGCTGTAGTATGAGCTGTACAAGATTTGGAGCAGATGAAGATGTTAACTAACCTGTATGTGACTCTTCTGACCATAAATAATTACTGAAGATGCTGCATTTAAAATAAAGTGCTGTTTGCTCATCACTGATGTGCATTGTAACATAAACTAAGGTCAAACTGTGTGGATAAAGAAGCTAATGCTGTATGTGGACAGCACACAGCGGGTTAAAAGAAAACATTGATATAAAATGTTTAACCCTTATTCCGCTCTGCTAACAATAAAGTATCAGGTCTGGTCAGACTGCATGCTCTACTTCCTGCCTTGTCCTTTTTTTTTTGCGATTCAGCAAAGAAGAGGAAACAGACGTTCCTCCTGCAGAGATGGCCGCTGATCGCATCCGATATTTGAGATGCTTTT